AGGGGCCCGCAAGTGCTGGCTGACGACCGCCTCAGCAGAAGCCAGCAGTGCCCAGATGGCCCAGAAGGCCAATGGCATCCTGGCTTGTATCAGGAGCAGTGCAGCCAGGAGGAGCAGGGATGTGATTCTGCCCATGTGCTCAGCCCTGGTGAGGCCTCACCTCGAGCCCTGTGTGCTGGGCCCCTCGATGCAAGAAAGACATTGAGGGGCTGGAGCGGGTCCAGAGGAGAGCAACGAGGCTGGGGAAGGGACTGGAGGGCAAGTGCTGTGGTGAGAGGCTGAGGGAGCTGGGGCTGTATAGCTTGGAGAAGAGGAGACTCAGGGGGGACCTTATCACTCTCTACAACTGTCTGAAGGGAGGGTGTAGTCAGGTGGAGTCAGGCTCTTCTCCCAGGCAACCAGTGACAACAAGAAAGGGCATGGCCTGAAACTGTCAGGGAAGGTTTAGATTGGATCTCAGGAAGCATTTCCTCACAGAGAAGGTGATTGGGCATTGGGATGAACTGCCCAGGGAAGTGGTGGAGTCACTGTCCCTGGAGGTGTTTAAGGAAAGGCTGGATGTGGCACTTAGCACCATGGTCTAGCTCATGGGGTGGTGTTGGGTCATAGGCTGGACTTGATGATCTCAGAGGTCTTTTCCAGCCTCAACAATTCTGTGATTCTGTGTGTGTCTTCTGTCCCTGGCTTATTCCATGACCATGGTTGCAAATAGCCAGCTCTTTGGCATCTTAAAGACTGCTTTTTCTTTCTCTCCAGTTGTTTGCTCTAGTGGTTCCCAAGAATGTGGCTTTAGGTAAACCAGACAGACGTTGTTTTGTGCACAGCCTAATTCTTTGGTGCAACAACTATGATGCCAGCTTTGTTGTGAGTTTGGGAAAATAAATCAGGCTGTCTCTTGACCCTTTCATATCCTGCCAAAACTTTATCCCTGTTCTTTTTTTGAATGGCCATTTCCCTGTCTTTAATCTACTAACCTGAGGACTGGACAGCAGAGAGATGCCAGCTGATTGTTGCAATGCTCTTTAATTGTTCACAGCAATAATACACATCTTACAAGTTTTGTAGTGAGCTAGCCAAACAGTGAGTATTTTTCAGACTTAAATAACATACAAGCTGGTAAACTGACCAAGTCTTCAACAAAAGTTTCTCTTAAATCACACTATAAATAGACAATTTAAAACATTTGAAAAAGCATCAGAAACTCCATTTGTATATAAGCATGCCTTTCCACTGGGTACATGAAATACTTCAATCTTTTTCTCAGCAGAATACACGATGAGAATTCCATCTTAGAGGCGCTGTGTCCTACAGATCATCACATAAACACAACCTTTATACTAGTATCAGGATTGAAGATTAAGACAGCTTAGCTATTCTTGCCAAACATTTTCTCTGTTAGTGAATGAACAAACAAATCAGCAAATCTCATCTCCTCTTTCTACATTATCACCAAAGGGATGCCACCTGGTGTTTCATCTCATTATAACTTCAAACTCTTTTTCAAAAAAAGAAAAAAGTTTTGAGAGTCTGTTGAAATGTCCTCGGGATTGGGGTTCTTTGCCAGTGTGAAGGATTTGGGGGAGCTTTAGCTTGAGATGGAAAGTCTCAGCTCACATAATCCACTCAGATATTCTTCACTGTCAGGATTTAATGCAACAGCCTTCTCATAGTACTCAATTGCTTCATGTTTCTCACTGTTTAGAGAACAAATGAATCCCAGTGTAGCAAAAACTCTTGCATCTCCTAAACCTCTTTGAATTCTCTGTTCCAGCATTTTCTTCAGAGCATCTCTGCACTTATGGAAGTAATAAGAGTCTTTCTGAATTTTCATTCCTTTCATGTAATACCTGATTGCTTCAGATTCTGATTTCATGTGAAAATGCTGAAAATTACCGTAAACATGGCAGAATTGTTGCTTGTCATCATCGCACAGAATATTTATCTGAGATGCTTTCTGAAATGTCTCTTCTGCTTCCTCATACCTCTTTCCTTCTGTATACATTCTTGCTAGGTCCATGTGTGCAGAAAAATTTTTTGTCTTTCGGTCAGTCATTATTTTAAAATGATAAATGGCAAGTTGGATGAGTTCCTCCACTTGCTCTCGAGATGGATATCTTGTAGACCTTTTCAACTCAAATAGCTTATTTCTGTAGCAGAGTCCAAGCTGATGATGCAGAAAGGTAGAGTCTGGTGTTACTGTTAGGGCCCTTTTCAAAATCTCCAGTGCCTTGTCCACGTCTCCTTTCCTTCTGTAAAATTTAGCACTGTATCGCAAGGCGTAAGGAGAACAAGGGGTTTTCTGCATTGCTTCCTCAATGTATCTCTCCCCTTCATCATCTTGCTTTAAATCCTGAAGCTTTAATGCAAGTAATGCCATAAGGACAGTATCCTTTGGATTCAGTTCCACTGCACGCTTCAGAGGCTCGAGGCACAGGCTTTCATGTTCACATTGCCTGTAAAAATAATCTTCCAAACGGTACATTGCTGTTGCATAGCCGGCATTAAATTCTGGGTTGTTGGGTTCCTTCTTCAGAGCATTTTCAAAGCAATTCTTTGCTCTCTTGTAGTATTTTTTCCCAAACTTTATCAATGCCCATCCTTCCTCAGCATAGATCTCTGGAAGTTCAATCTTCCACTGAGCAGTACTGGAAAGCTCTTTGCAGCTGTTCTCCACCTTGTTTACGTAACTTTGAGCTTCTTCATACCTCTCCAGGTGGTAGTAGACCCAGGCATAGTTCCCCAAGGTAACAAGACTTCTCCTGGCAATTTTGTCTGGGTGACTTTTTTGAACTTCTTCTTCAGCTTTCTGTAGATTTTGCAGGGCTTCCTCATTCGATTTCTTTAGGTGGCATATGTAGGACATTAGATTATAATTTTGAATGTTGGATTCTGTGAAAAACCTTATCTGACAGCGTACTGTTTCCTTTAATTCATCGAGATCCACATCCTCCTCCAGCAACGTCCACGTAAAATGACATTCCAGCTTCTCTAGGGAGCTCTTCAAGGAACTCTTGGAAACGGCACTAGAAGAAATCAAAGAAAACCTTCCTTACACTCATTTTCCTTTTTGCTACTCTCATTTTTAAAGCAGGCATGATGTGCTTCAAAAGCAGGCAACACCTCTGCTGATGCCACTATTCAACACGACTTCAAAGAAGCCAGAGCTCTGGGGAGCCATAGGACTAAAGAGCTCAACAGTTGTTTCCGATAATTCTCCTTGCCAGTGTAAGAGGGCTTCTCTTGCATAGCAACAGAGCTGGCGGTCTGGGTGTCACAGAGGACAAAGCAGTCTCTGTGGTAAAGCTGGCACACCTGGAATTAACAACAGTTCCTAACGGGAAGGCTGTATGTGAGGTAATGACAGCTCTGCTGGAAAAAGGGGGAAGTGAGAACAAGCTCCTATGCTCGCTATCGTGTTGTGTTAGAAACCTTTGGCTACAGAAGAAGAGATATTGGATGCCAAATTAGCAAAATACTGTAGGAACAGCTTGAAGCATTTAAGTAGTCCCATCCACTGCAGGATGGAAGGTGTCCTGTTTTTATTGCCTCTGATGAGGACCATGGAAACTGCTCTGGTAGAAAACAACAGTGGAGACTAATTCATGAAGAGGCACTTGTAGGAAATGAATATTCATGAATGTCAGAAAAACAGAACTGTGATGCAGATTAAACATAGTTTCACTCAGTTCATCACACAAGCCTGAAACAGTTTCCAAAGCTGCCTTAGTTGAGAGCACGCGTGTGTGTGTTCATGCCTGCCTGCCTCTGTGCACGCGTGACAGTCTCCAGAAAGTGTTACCCCCCTCTTATGCTCCAAGCTGCAGCCCAGAACCTGCACTGCTCTGCCTCATCCTTTCAGTAGCAGAAATTCTCAAGCGCAAATTCCAAATGCATCAGTGCCATCTGGCAGAGCACCAGCTACAGCTGCAGCCTGGATTCCATTTCCAGAGTGTCAGTTCTGTTCACAGAGATGGGCTCTTGTCAGAAGAGCAAGAGCATTAGAGTGCTTGATAGCTTCCCTATTTCATTTTGATTCTTTCAGCAAATATTCTAAAATATTTTCTGCTCTTTGGACCCCTCAAACCACTCACTGATTACTTTTGTGTAAATAATAGGCATTATTTTCCCATGGCAAAGCAAAAAAGCATCTTTGAGAGATCTTTCACTCACCTCATGGTTTTCCTTCTCTGCTCACTTTAGGCAGATGCGAAGGCAGCTGAAAGTAGCTCACTCTTGTTATGATTTCTCTTTTATGTGCTCTGGCACTCACGTGATCTGTGAGTCATTCAGCAGGAAACAGAAATTGAAACTACGGCTGAGGTCTGAATCTGCAAAAGAAACTGGAACAGCATCAGCAGGGGAATAGAAACTTGAGTTTCTAAGCCTGGCCCTGAGCCCTGTGTTACACTGTGTCGTGCAGAATGTGGCAACAGCTCCCAATAGCTCCCAGCATTTACTTTGCTCAAATCCAGAGGCATCTGTGATAAGGAGAATATTTCAGGCAAGTGCAGGTAGAGCTGGTTATCATGCCTTGGCTAGGGAAGGGTCTTAGCTCCCCCAGCCTCTGCTGATGCATCTTTGCACCATTTTGCCCCATGCTTTAGGTTTGTTGGTATTCCGTCATCCACGTAACACTCCCACACATCTTGTCGCCCCTGCCCACACTCCTTCACCATGTGCCTCCGTATTGCAAGGTCTCTGCTGTCGTATCAGGCCCGTATTTCTCTGCACTCTGTCATTATATAGGCATGATAAATATCTCATCCCTAGAGCAACTCTTTGTGCTGCTCTTTACACAAAACTGCAGTTGTACTGGGCAAAGGTAAATGGAAGTAAAAAAATTAGATATGGTCAGTTCAAGAAATTGTTGTCACAGTTGTGCCAAGGGCAGCAGAGCTGCAGGCCGGTCAGGAAAAGCCCAAACAGAGCCCACCTGGCAAGCCTCAGGGCTGAGCACCTACAGACTCAGCGTGGAGCTCTTGGCGTGTTGCAAGCAGCAGCATGGCCTGTTACAGGCCTGGATGTTAACCAACGGATGGGAGGCAGGGCATGGGCTGGCTACTGGAACACCTATGGATATAGACAACTCCTGCTTATTTTGAAACAAAATTAAATGCCGGTCTGATGTGTGGGCCATGCAAGAACAACAACAAACCACGGCTGAAATGCAAAGAGTAGATTTATTCTTGCTACCTGTGGTGTTCCAGCCTGCAGGGAGTGAATTTCCATCAGGCAGTGACTTTTCAGACAGGGCTGTCCGTTCTTCCTCTTCTACATGAAGTTAGAGAACCATAGTAACTTGCTTGGCACAGCATAGGATAATTCAGAAATACTTCTACAGCCCCACTGCTTTCACTTTGGGGAAAGCTGCAGCTGGGCTGGCTGATGTCAGATAGGGCTTCATTGTATATCACACATTGCAAGAGCTTCTGTAAACACTTGTGCAGAAATGAGCCGGAAACAACAACTGCATTCACATGTAATACAAAGACTTTGTTTACTTGAGTGTTCTGTACATTTACAAGAGTAGAGAATGGCTTCAAAAACATCTCCACATTTTAAGGAGAAAATACGTATCTGCACATTTCCCCGGATCTGAAATGCACATCTGCTGACAAAGAATTCTCCCCTGGCATTGTTAGCCCAGCAAAACAATTGCCTGAAATGCAGTTTTCATGATGAAATGCAGTTTTCATTTTAATGACAGAAATTAACTATACCATTACTATGGTACAGTTAATTTCTATCATGAAGGACAGGATCACCTTAATGACCTATTTAATGCTGTGTTCAGTTTAGCCCAGTTTGTAATATATTTACGATATCTGACAGCATAAGTTGTGGCATTTTAAAACTTGGGTTTTTCCCTAGGGAGTGAGAGCACCCTGCAATGATTCGACAGAAATCCCACATCACTCACTGTGCACTATTTTTCTACACAAGCTTTTTAAAACCAAGTGACCCTTAGAAATAGTATCCAGGAACGCAAAGCGTCATGTGGTGTCACTTGTACTGAATGAGGTATCCATGTACCAAAACAAGGGCATGCTAGGAAAACTTCACTGATTTTTCAGTTAAAATTTCAATGCTTTCTAAACTAACATTTCTGTTTTTGACACACTCCCGCTCAACCACTGTGCATTTTTTATCAGGTTTCTGTATCGTTCTGAAGTTATTCCTGTAGACCCAGACCTAGTAACAGCGACTTTTTTATATAACAGGACTGAATTTGGTCCAGGTTTCTGCAAACCTGGTCACACGTCGCCTGGCCACAGACACGCTTCTCTGGGAAATTACAGATAATGCCAATGAGTTGCTTCAGAGGAGCATGAAGAGAGAACAGGTTTGCAAGGAGCCGGCCGGGAGGGCAACTAACGCTGCTGGAACTGCGTGCTGTGTGTCACCCGAGCCCCCTCGCATTCCATCTGTTTAGGCTGCGCTCAAAGACGACGGAGCGATGATTTACTCGTGTCAAGCGGCACCGACTGGTGACAGCGCTTTCCCGTCGTTGCGAAAGGAAGAAAAATAAAAGATCCTGGAGACTGCAGACGAGGAGCAGAGCGGGGCCGAGAAGAGAAAATCATGGGCGTCGCTCTCGGGGCTGAAAGATTTCTGGAAATGGAGTCCGGGGGCGGATCGACACAGGCACCGCTCGAGAAGCGCTGAGTCACGCCG